TTATAGTTAACGTAGTCTATGACTATCCCCATCCCCCCCCCCACTTCCCATCCCTCAAAACCCAACCAACCCCCCCCCCCCCCCCCCCCCGCCCTGCCCATCATCCCCTTTGGGCCACCTCTGTCTGTCTGTCAAAATTTTGAATGGCTTTTGTCGCGCCGAACCGAGCGACGAGGCGATGGCCAAGGGCTCGGACGCTTGCTCCTGCACCAAGTCGACAGAGGCGATAACGACCACACATGACTCTGACCTCAACCATGTCTACCCGCCGCCCGACTCACCCGCACAAAACTCGCCCTCGTGAGACTCGTCCTGTTGACAAGCGGCCGTTTTCAGCCGTCCGCAAGTCGGAGGCTCTGCTGCGCAAGGAGAACGCCGAGCTCAAGAGCCGGCAGGCTGCGCTGGTGGCTCAGGCTGCTGCTGCTACAGCTCGAGCTTCGCATGCTGATGCTTCTGCAGAGCGGGCAACTGCTGATCGCCACCATCTCTTCCGATGGGCAGAAACAAACGGCATCGATGCTGTCGCTGCTACCGCTCTCGCAGCTCAGGGCCTTGACGCCGAAGGCGAGCTCCCGCTTCCCCGCCCAGCAGAGGTCGATGATGACTTTGCTGCTCGCGCCGCTGCGCTCAGAGCTCGCATCGAGCAACGCAAGCATGACATCGAGGCCCGCATGGATGCTGTTGTCGCTCCCTCGCCCATCTCTGCCATGTGATCGTCTCGCTTGATGGCTAGCACGGCGACCACCGCCTGGCGACCACGACCCTGATGATCCAGACAGACATCCTAGACTCACGTTCTCTCATCGTAAAAGTCTCTTGTACCTCGGCCACCGCAGCACCTCCAGGTATGGCCGCAACATCGCTTCCGAGCCCAAACCCAACGACAACAGCTTGCTCCTCGGTCCCCTTCTCATCGCTCAGGCAGATCGCTGTCACGGCCACTTGTCTCTACATCCTCGCCAAGACTTGTGCACCCAATAGCCAGACACACGACTGCACTACCTCCACGCGATGCACTCTTGTGGGCCTACGACAGATCGCGGACGGATAGCGGCGGCCCGCTGGCTCGCATGGCCTCGGTCCCTGACTTCCGCCGAGCGATAGAAGTGCGAGAAGCCGGAGAAGCCGAGACAGCCGAGTCGACCAGCTCTGTAGCCCACTCGACCCTCTTTCGGGCCTTCTTCATCTCCTGCGAGCCATAGATCCTCCGGAGAGCAAAGCCGTCCGGTGGTGACCATGCGACGGCGGCCCGGCGAACCGCTCGCGGCAGAGTGGCCAGGGCATGGCGACGGCCACTGCTATCACGAGCCATACGCCTCCGCAGGTACGGTCCTACCACCACCACATCATCGACCATTCCATTCTCTTGCCCCACAACAGCCTCCATTGCCACTCGCCGGCCACTGCCTCTGCCTGTCCGACTGGAGTGAGGTGGGCCCGGTCCGTTGAGCCGACGACGGAGACCGCGACGGGGACCGCCTCGATCACGGCCACAAATACCGCTTCCGCCTTTGTCTGCCACCTGCACTCACGCCCATCTTTGGATGCTTCCTCTGATGCACATGACCGCACCGATAGCCCCTGACCCCACCGATAGCCCCTGACCCCACCGATAGCCCCTGACTCCACCGATAGCCCCTGACCCCACCGATAGCCCCTGACCCCACCGATAGCCCCTGACCCCACCGATAGCCCCTGACTCCACCGATAGCCCCTGACTCCACCGATAGCCCCTGACCCCACCGATAGCCCCTGACTCCACCGATAGCCCCTGACTCCACCGATAGCCCCTGGATGCATTGACGACCATGATCGCCCCCCATCCACCACCCATCCATGCCATGATGGCCTGATCGAGTCCTCAAACCTCCTTCTCCGTCACCCCCCCCCCTCCTGTCCCTGCAGCCCCACCTCTCTCCCAGCTCATCCCCCCTCCCACCGGCATGGACCGCCAGCTGTTCTTCAGCACCCTCCCACTGCTCCACCCGACCTCTCCGCCCTCCAATCCCCACGATACTGTCTTCAGGGGCTCTGCATGCGTGTACCACTCCTCCCGCTCGCCATCATCCGCGCCTGCTACGAGCGTGGTGTCGACCGTGTCGTCGTCGTCGTCGTCAGCGGGCGCGACAGAGGCCAGGCCCGGCGCTGCTGCCGGCGGTCGTACAAACAATTTCACCACACATTTACCAACATCGCCTGCTCCTCACAACGACATGACCTTGTCCTACCTCGCCCTCGGTCCGCTCTCTGCCGATCCCATGGTGGCAGAGATCGAGGCCGTCGAGGCGGCTGGCAGGCTATGGATCCGGCTCGATGGCGCCTGGTTCGTCCTCGTCCCGGCAAGCGTCTCAGCTCTTCTTCCGCCCGCCGCCGCCGCCGGAGCAGACGACACTCCGGCTCTGGATCTAGTTGGTGACCATGGCATCGCTCTGAGACTGTTTGTTCTGGATGCGCCCAAGGACGTAGCGAGAACGCTGCTGGACTCGCTTGCCGTCCTCCTACTCGACCGCATCCTACCAGACCTCGCTCTCCCCGAGAGAATCTTGCCGGATACCGTCACCAACGCTCAGCCGTCCGCGGCTGACCTGGATGCTGCGCTGGTGGGCGTGACCGCCATGGCCACCGCGGGCTTGCCTCCTGCGGCCGATTCTGCCGATGTTGCCGCCGCCGCCGCCCAGGTCTTGAACCCGCTGGCCATCGCAGCGCTCGCAGCGCTTCCGCAACGAGACAGTCTGCCGTCAGCCCTGCCGCCACCAATCGCTGCTAACCACCGCGATGGCTACTCGCTGCAGGACGTGGTCGACGCCGACGCCGCCATCTTCGAGGCCTACCTCCACGACGTCGTCCTCACTTGAACCCGCTACGACGCTAGCGCCAGGACCGCGATGGCGCCGCCATAGAGGAGGTAGACCATGGCCAGCGCACCAACCGTTGCTCGCCCCGCACCATCAAACTCGTGCCACGCCGCAATGCCCCACGTTGCTGCCGCAAGAGGCGCGCACTGGCCGATCGCGTACGCCGTCCCGTACCCGAGCTTCTTGCCCGAGACCAGCGAGGCCCACGTTCCGCAGCACCACACCATGCCACCCAGCATGCCCCATGCGTGGACTCGCCACGCGCTCGCCTCGGCCTCATCGTTGCCGCCGTCACTGTTGCTGCCAACAAGTCGGACACAGATAGGGACCAACACCAGCGACGAGCCCGCCATGCCCATCACATACAGCACCATCGTTCCGTACGTGGTCAGGCCATGTGCGCCGGACATCGACGCTACAGAAAGCGGGGACCAGAGCCCCATGAGGACGCCGGCGGCTACGCAGAGTGCAACCTGTCTTCCGAGACCCATCTCTGTTTGCCGCGGCGGCGAACCCGCCCCCCGCCCGTTGACGAGCAACGGGCGGCCGGCCTCGTCATCGGTATGGCGCTCATCGGAGCCGCCGCGGATCCGTTGGTGCAGTCCATGGGCAACGCCCATGGCAGCGACTGCAGCCAGCGCGAGGCCACATCCGCCAGCGATCATCCCGGGCTTGCCCTTTGGCTCGAGGCTGTAGTTGAAGCTCGTCCCCACCACAAGCGCCGTTCCGATGCCGAGCGGAAAGGCTGTCGCCATGCCACACACAGTGATCGCCCACGTCAGCAACATGTTCGCCACATTGAACACCACGCCCGCGCCCAACGCCATCGCTACCTGCTTTCCACCCGCATTCCCCAGCGAGTGCCATGTCGATGGCCCGCCACTCGCACTGCCACCGCTACCATCATCGGTTGACAGCAGCGATGATGATGACGATGACGACGATGACGATGACAGCGATGACAACATCAACAGACGCTGGGACAAGTTGGATGGTATAGAGGCTCCGGCACCCGTCCCTGGTGATGGCGAGGTCGTTGTTGCCGCCGTGGTGGTGTTGGTGGATGATGGGCTCATCGACCCGCCGCCAATGGGTCCGCCCAGAGTGGCGCCGAGGACGACGGCAGCGAGGACGGCACCGACGACATACGCCGGATAGAACCGTGTCCAGGACACCTGCGCCAGCTTGACCGTATTGCTCCACGAGCCCCATGCAATGAGCGCACCCATAGCCACAAGAAGCGCGGCTTCATGGCTCTCGGGCGTCCACATCTGCCTCTGCTGTGAGTGAGGTCTGCCGGCCTCACTCTGCCCGAATCCTTCGTCGCGTGCTTGAGAGCGGCGGAGAGATCGACTGCTGTATCTCGTCGCGCAGTAACTCCGCGGTGATCGCAAGTGGTTCGGAATATGGTACAATGCATGGAGGGAGAAGCAAGATGATTTGGTGTGATGTGAGCATGCGAGCAGTGTGCGAAGGAAGTAAGCTGTGAGACAGATGTCAAAATCTTTTTGATCAGTGATCGGATGTGATTTGGCACCAGATTGTGGCAGCTCTTTCTCTTCACGTTTGCTGTGCCTTGATCTTGGTATAACTCCATCTACAGAAAGCCTATCTATGCACCGAGCATAGCGAACAACATACACATACCGGTTCCAAACAGAAATGACGTCCTGCAAAGGTAGATCATGGTGATGGAGGCAGTTCCTGCCCCAAATCCCCCCACATCCATCGATCCCCATCGAACCACCCCTCCTCCCCTTTCCATCACCGCTTCCATCACCACCACCACCCCCTCCATCCCCTCAACCACAGCACCAGCACTTTCCATATGCCAGACATAGCACTCTGCCCAAACAGATGTCCCTGGGCATGTCTGCACGATGATGATGATGATGATGATGATGATGATGATGATGATGATGATGATGATGATCATGATCGTGATCAGAGTGCCATCACCCGACTCCATCCACCGAGGCAGCTGGTGGACCCCCCCCTCCCTCCCACCCACCCACCCACCCTCCCTCTGGCACACCTTGGCCAAGGCATCACCTTGCTCGGTCTGTGACAGACTATGTCTCACCCTGTGCTGTCGATTCCTTGGGATGGAGAGACTAATGCAGTTCTGGCACAGGTCCTTGGTCGCCTTCGGAACCCCTCCCCAGACGAGCCCGAGATAGATACGGCAGTCGCCGGCGCTCTCACGGCTGCCATCCTCGCTGCTCCGCCACCGCAAGGTCTTCCTTCCTCGCCACTCATCACTCCGGCAGATGATTACCTCAGATACGCATCGCTGCTCAAGGCCATCGCTCTCCGTCTTCCGCTGCCGGACGCGCATCAGATCGTCTGCCATCGTCCTCTTCATCTCGTTGCCGCTGCTGCTGATGATCAAGGCGACGACGATGATGGGACGGAAGGCGATGACGATGATGGGGCGGAAGATGGAGACGACGCCATGGGTGTTGTCGCCGAAGACGACGCCACGGCTGCTGCGGCCGAAGACGACGCCACGGCTGCTGCGGCCGAAGACGACGCCACGGCTGCTGCGGCCGAAGACGACGCCACGGCTGCTGCGGCCGAAGACGACGCCACGGCTGCTGCGGCCGAAGACGACGCCACGGGTGTTGTCGCCGAAGACGACGCCACGGCTGCTGCGGCCGAAGCCGCCGTTACAGGAGGTACGACCCAGATCGACGACGACGAGGACAAGACACCAATTATGCCGGACACTGACACGCCGCTCGCTCGACTCCAGCTGACGCTCCTTGGCTCACCTCCGGACGATCTCCTCGAGGCGACGAGCGTGCCGGACGACCCAGAAGATGCTGTCTGCTACCTGCTGGCCATGGCGGAGCGGTGCCGGTCGCGTTACGCACCGCGGTCGGCTCGGCCATACGTTGAGGTTCCTCCTGGGGCGATGCTGGTCGGCATCGTGTCCAAGTCGCTGCATGCACTGTCTGCTGCGGCAGCAGCGGTGCCGTTTGGGAGCTACGACCCGCGGATGCACTCGAGCCATCCGCCTGCCGTGTACGCGCCGCTGATGGCGCTGCGGGCTCTCTCGTCGATTGTGACCAACATGGTTCCTGGCATCCTCGGCCCGCTCGCCGAGGCGCTTCTTATCGAGTTTGACGGCACGCTTCCGCTGCCGGTTGCCCACGCCGCCGCTGAGCTGTTTGGCACGGCGTGGCACATCTCGCCTGATTTGCGGGCGCCGCTCAAGCCGCACCGCGACGCACTTTTCCAGCTGGCGCCAGCAGCGGCCTCGCTCTCGCTCTCGCTCTGCTCCACGGCCGACACCTCGCCGCGGGCCTGCCTCCATGGCGAGCTTGCTTCACTTTACGCTTGGTCGCCGTACATGCTCCTTGTGCAGTACATGATCCCGCGCGAGCCGACCCGCGGCAACATTGCCGCCTTTATCGACTGCCTCTCCGTCAACCTGAAGGCGCTGGTGCCGCAAGTGACCGGGACGCCGCACGCTGCTGGCCCGGCCACAACTCCGATTGCCTCGGCTTTGGCGGTCGTCCTCTTTGAGCTCCGCCCCTGCACCCGACTTGCGGGCTTCCCGGCCGACGCCACGCCAGAGCTGCGCGACTTTGTCCACGGCGCCCTTGCCGAGGCCCTAGCGGCGCTGGAGGCCTTGCCGGAGCTCTGCGGCGTGCTGGCTGCATCGGTCGAGGTTGCCCGCGCCGGCGCTGCCATGATCACCGACTCGCCCCTTGCTGCCTTTGATGCTGCGCTCGCCATGGCCTCGGCCGATCGCCCCGAGTTTACACGGGCGTGGGGCACCATTGCGCTCGCGCACTTTGTGCAGAACGAGGATGTGCTTGCCCACTGGCGCGCCCTGCCGCCGTCCGAGCTCGAGTCGCTGCTGGTGGTCATGCTCGACGTAGTCGAGGCTGCCCCTCTCACCGACGTTGTCCTCGCGCTCCCGATCCTCCTCACCTCGCTCCCAGCGCTGCTTTCGCACTCACTAACTCTGGTCATCTCACGGCTGGTCGACGTTGTTGTCTCAAAGACACCCGAGCTGGCGCCGGACACGCTCCTTGCAGATGTCACTGCCGACTCGCTCATTTTTGATCTGCAGGACGTGCTCTCCATGATCGCTGATGTCCTCACCGCCGGCATGATGTACTCGCAGCATGCGAATGGGGTTAGTGCCGCCGTCGCCCGCATTCTCCACCTCGCCGACCGTGTTGAGTTTACCAACGTTGTCCTCCGCATCGTCGCCGCCTCGGCCTACCTCGCCGGCGAGGTCCAGCCGGAGATGATCGACCTGCTAGTGAGCACGGCGCAGGGCAATGACATGGTTGACGAGCTCTGGGACGTTCTGCCGTCGTTTGTGGCGCTCTCGCCGGCTACCACGGCACCTGTCGCCGATGTCCTCCTCACCCACCATCCGATCGTTTCGCCCATTGCGCTCACCCTCTCGCTCCACATCCTCATCGCCAACACCCTCCGCTGTCTGCGCCCGGTGCCGGAGCCAGACCTGGCGCGGGCTGCCGCTCTGGCGCTCGCTCCGACCCTTGTCGCCTCGGCTGATGCGCTCGAGTCCGAGATCCCACAATGGCTGCCAGCGCTGTGCAGCTTTGTGGCGGTGGTCATTGGCGCTGTGCCCGTGCCGGACGACGGACCGCCGGCCGTTGTCGCCCTCGCCAACACGGTGCTTGCTGCCGGAATCTCCGGGAGCACCTCGACTGAAGTGGCAATGATGCTGGCCGATGTGGTGGTGGCTGGTGTCGCCTTTAGCGGGCCGCCGGACGTGCTCGGTCACCTCCTGACGTCACGGCCTCTGGTGGGTGTCATCAATACCTCGCCGCTCCCGTCGAGCGAGTTTGACGGCGATGTTGAGGGTGATGGCGACGGTGACGGTGACGGCGATGGCGATGGTGATGATGATGCTGATGACGACAACGACGACGACGACGATGATGTCGACGACGATGATGATCTTGGTGATGACGACGACATGGCCTGCCTCCAGATGGGCGACCTGGACTCGTTCTTCCACGGGCTTGACGAAGTCTCGCCCGATGCCGACGGCCTGGTGCGGCTGCTTTGCGAGCTTGCCGACGATGTGACGGCGCCGTTTGCGACGTCTCCCGGCGGGCATCTGCTAGGCATGCGGGAGCAGGTGCTTGCGGTGATGCGCGAGACGCCGGCGGCCGGTATGGTCCGCGGGCTGCTCTCTGTGGCTGCGGCGCGGAAGTCGGGCGTGCGCTCGCTGCGAGCCATGGCGCTGGGGGTGGTCGCCGAGGCCGTGAGCGTGTCAGAGAGCAACGTGTCGGACGAGCGTGTGCCTGAGCACCTCCTCAGCGACATCTGGGATGCGCGCTGGCGCTGCGGGCGTCGGCAGCCCTGACGTCGGCGCCATCGTCGCCGGCGCCGTCACCCTGATGGTCTTCATGCGCGTGTTGGCGTGTTTTTACTCTGCAGCGGCAAAGGCGCGGATAAAGGCACGGAGCTCACTGTTTGACGGCTCGAGGGAAGCCGAGGCGTCGGCAAAGACGGCCTCGTCGGGAGTGAGGCTAGCGCGGGCGCGGATGGCGGCCATCTCGACGTCTTTGGCAAACTCAGGATGGCCCTGAAAGCCGATGACGATGTCACGGCAGGCAAAGGCCTCGACGGCGGCGCCGTCGGATGAGGCAAGGAGGGTAGCCGACGGTGGGAGCTCGGTGACGCAGTCCTCGTGCGTGACCAGGATGCGGAGGCCGGCATCGATGGGAAGCGGAGACCCGACAGCGTCAGCCAGCTCGGCCATCGCCGGCTCGCAGGCAAGCGTCTCCACGCCGAACCGCATGGAGCCCGACGGGTTCTTGCCAGCGGTTCCGCCGAGAGCAGCGGCGGTGATCTGGTGGCCAAAGCAGATGCCGACGAGCTTGCACGGTGCAACATCGAGATCAGACCAGCCGCGAGCAAGGAACGAGTGAAGAGCAGCGATCCAAGGAGTCTCTGTCTGTGTTGCTGAGTGGTGCGAGCCTGAGACAAAGACGACGTCGAGGGCAGCGAGCTCGTCCGATGTCGGATACTCGTTGCGAGTCACGTTGTACACATACCACTGGATGGGAGGAGGGGGGTGAGTTGGTGACGATGATGATGGTGATGATGATGGTGATGGGGAGGGCGATGGGGGGTGTGGTGGTGATGACCATGATGATGGTGATGATGATGACCACGATGATGATGGTGATGATGGGGATGATGGTGATGATGATGACCACGATGATGATGGTGATGACCATGATGATGGTGATGATGATGACCACGATGATGATGGTGATGATGATGACCACGATGATGATGGTGATGATGATGACCACGATGATGATGGTGATGACCATGATGATGGTGATGATGATGACCACATGATGAGTGGTGAT